ATTGTGACTTTTGCTATATAACAAAGATTGCCTAAAAGATGGGAGAGATCTCACACCAATAGGGCACTTGAGGGAGACGTTTGGGATGGTGTAAGTGGCACGCTCGGAGTAGGTATCACGAGAGAAACCGCCTGTATGTAACCTACCTTAAGCTAGGATAAATGCATATATATTAGCATGTATGGTAAATTACATGTGCCTGTCTCCTATGCTATGTAATGATAGAGCAGTTTACAATACAGGCAAAGCCTCATCCGCAAACAAGAGTCTGCCAGAGACAGAAGCTCCAGTCCATACCCGCATCTTCCCGCCTCATATTACCACGGTTATGCCAACTGAACACGCTTCACCCATCAGCAGTATGTCCTACCTCTCAAGCTACTACTACTACTAACTATACGGAATGACGGAGGACATGACGCTCGGCTCTGAGTTCTGCTCCATCTCCCTTCTGCCGTTGGCAATGCAGATCTGCAGCGGATCAGCGCGAAACGGGCGCCTTAGCCTCGAGCAAACTGGAGAACAAGAGACCACATTACATGTATCCACGATGACAGCCTCGAGAAGCAGGTACAGGTACGATGCTGTAGACTGGAGACTTTAGCCCACGTACCGAAGCATTAGGAGCATGGACCCTGCTAGCCTCTCCTCCTGCTCACGCCCCCTCCCCTGCATCTTCAACCCACATCGCGATGCTTCACTCTTCGCAATCGGCTGTACAGTAGCTAGGAGTGCTGCGTACAAGTACTCGTACAATTACTCGTGCGGGGCAGTTGGAGTCCTTTCACGCAAGCTGGAGTCTCCGGTAAGACCAGCCAAGTCCCAGAACCGCCGAGTTGCCTCAACTGCCTTGAGCAGATTATCTCCCTGATTGATTAGATCCACCAACTTGCAAGGGTTCCCTCCGCCATCATCCCACTCTTGCAGATTTTTCTCTCTCGTCTCTTGTCTCCGCCTCTCGCTCGCATATTCCGGATTGGGATATTCGATCCAAATCTCCATCGTTGTCTTGTCCAACTCCTTGGCTCATACTCGTAACTCGACATGTCCCTGGCCATCAGATAACAAAACTTTCGCCCTCCTCCGTAAGGTAGTTCACATTCAGTCCTTGTACTGTACATATAAACTTCTCGCAGCCCACTTTGATCCTTGCGCCTCCGAGCGGATCTGATAACTTTATTGGAGCTCAACCCAAGCCAACTAACGCACCTCCTACACCATCTTCTGGTCCGTTGTTCGGAGCGGCTACCAGAATCGAGCACCCGGGCGTATTCCTTCGCTGCTTCGTGCATGATCTGATAAACTCGACTTGTTTGTTTCTCCACCAACCGGTTACGGGTCTGGGTGGCTTGAAATCGCGCAAGCGATCACCGCCATGTGCCCCAACTTACTCGTAGGCACCGTACTTGGCACTCCAATTGCCGAGTATCCGCTCTGAGAGAAACAAAAAAGGCACTGAAGCCGTTTTGATCAATCTCAGTTTAATCGAAACAGATATTCAGCTTGAATCGCTTCTCCCGGTCGAGTCGTCAGCCTGGCTTGAGGTATAAAAAAGTTTTGCGTGCCGAAGGTGTTCCCACCGTCGCAAACAGCACCGGGAGAGTTGCCGGATTCCTATTAGCTTCAGGTCTTCGCTTCGAGAATAACGTATGTTTTACGGCACGGGAATGTCATGGGAGTAAATTCTCCTTCTGTGTTTAGTGCCGGCACAGAGGATAGTGCTTTGCTTTGGCTTGACACCAAGAGAGACGGAAGAAAAAAGATGGAACTCGGCTCCAGTTGCGACGAGATAGTCGTGTCCTTGGCCCAACAGCTTCAACAAATCTACGTACTGGACGGAGCATTCTCTCGGTTGTAGAAGGCATCACATCGAATTACACAAGGTACCTCTTACTTCTCACGCTGCTCTTCTTCCCTTTGCTTCCAAGTAGTACTGTAGTGGTAGTGTAACCATATCTCCTCGTAGACATTCCTGGCCTCGCCGACTTCCGAGTACAAACAGGAAGGGATTCTCGACTTGCCACATCTTCAAACCAACATCGAAAGTAAAAGACCAATCATGGCAATTCCTCCTCGGGCCTGATCCATCAGAGATATCAGCCAACAAGATCAGTGTGTACCGTAAAAAGTGAGTGGCCCATATGATCCAGGTCGCCTCGACTAGTGCCGCACGCGACTATCTTCCTCCCTCCCCCCCTGTCTACTACCTACCTAGTAGGTGACATTACGACGACTATGGATGTAGTACTTCAAACTTTCAACTCATCACCCATGTCAGCGGCAAAATCTAGAATCCTTTCAGCCTTTCAGCTTCGCCGGGTCTGGACGAATAAGTATCCGCAACAAACCCTGCTAGATACGCGCAACGTGGCAAGCATCATCAACTGCAGCTGAGATCTCAAAGCCGCAGTCCAACGGATCCAGTAAGTAGAAAACTCATCCATTGGCCTTTCCCCCTCGCCGTGAACTCAACTTCATCGTCTTCACCCCATCGACAGGCAGAGGAGTCAAACCAACTAACACCAGTTTCTTCTCCTCCCAAAGTCATGGCCGTCACCAACTCCCCCGAGCGCGAAAAGTTCGCCTCCGGAGGTGAAGCCGAAGCCGGCAAAGAAAACCCAGACGTCCAGATCGGCGGCCCTCAGGACTCGGACCCGGACGCCGACGATGGCATCGACACCAAGGCCCAGGCTGGTGTCCAGAACATCGAGGCCATCACCTCCGTCTGGACAAAGAGCGCCCTCTTCACGGCCTTTGCCATGATCTGGGTCATCTACTTCGTCGACAGCATGCAGCAGGGCACCACGGGCAACCTTACGCCCTGGGTCACCTCCGCCTTCGAGGAGCACTCCCTGACGCCCACCACCAGCGTCATGAGCAACATCATCGGCGGCGTCTTCAAGTTGACGCTCGCCAAGGTGCTCGACATCTTCGGCCGTCCGCAGGGCTACCTGCTTTCCATCGTCTTCACCACGCTCGGCCTGGTCATGATGGCCGCTTGCAAGAACGTCGAGACGTACGCCGCCGCTCAGGTCTTCTACTGGGTCGGGTACAATGGGTTGGACTACTCGCTCTCCGTCTTCCTCGCAGACACAACCTCTCTGCGTAATCGGTGAGTTCCAATCGTCCCTTATCGTATATGTGAAGAAGGGGCCCCTCCCCATGGCTAACAGAGTTCGTTTTCCTCCCAAAACAGAGGCCTCATCTTTGCCTACAGCAGCTCCCCGTACATCATCACCACGTGGATCTCCGGCCCCATCTCGACCGCCTTCCTGAACGGCCCCGGTTTCCGCTGGGGCTTCGGCTCGTTCGCCATCATCACCCCCGTCATCACCCTGCCCCTGTTCTTCCTCTTCATGCACTACAACAAGAAGGCCAAGGCCCTCGGCGTCGTCCCTCCCCGCGAGAGCAAGGGCTCGTGGGCGGACTCTCTGTACTACTACGCGCGCGAGTTCGACCTCGTCGGCCTGCTCCTCATCTCCGGAGGCCTGGCCATGTTCCTCCTCCCCTTCAACATCTACTCCTACCAGGCGGAAGGCTGGAAGTCGCCCCTCATCATCGGCCTCCTGGTCGGAGGAATCGTCACCCTCATTGTGTTTGGCGTCTGGGAGCGATGGTTTGCGCCCATCACCTTCATCCCTTACTCCCTCCTCATGGACCGCACCGTCATCGGCGCCAACATCCTCGCTGCGTCCGTCTTCGTCAGCTTCTACATCTGGGACAGCTACTTCCTCAGCTTCCTCCAGGTGGTCAACGGCCTTGATGTCACCGAGTCCAGCTACGTTTCCAACATCTACAGCATTGGGTAAGCAAAAACATACATAGCTTCGTCGCTTGTATAAGACGGAATCACCGCTAACGGTTTCCATCACAGTTCCTGCTTGTGGGCGATCCTCGTCGGCCTCGTCATCCGCCACACCGGCAAGTTCAAGCCCATCTGCCTCTTCTTCGGCGTGCCCGTCACGATCTTGGGTGTCGGCTTGATGATTCACTTCCGCCAGCCCGACGTCAACATCGGTAAGTCCTCTCACCCGCGGATTCACAAAAAAGGAGTGTAGAATAGCTTGCTAACAAAATCCGCTTTCTGCAGGATACATCATCATGTGCCAAATCTTCATCGCCTTCGCCGGCGGCACCATTGTCATCTGCGAGCAGACCGCCGTCATGGCCGCCACCTCCCACCAGTACGTCGCCGTCGTCCTGGCCATCGAGGCAATGGCCTCGTCCATCGGTGGCGCCATCGGCCTGACCGTCGCCGCCGCCGTCTGGCAGGCCGTCTTCCCCAAGAAGCTGGCCGTCTACCTCCCCGAGTCCGCCATCGGCAACCTCACCGACATTTACGGCAGCCTCGACGTCCAGCTGTCGTACCCGATGGGGTCTCCCGAGCGCATCGCCATCCAAAAGGCCTATGGCGACAGCCAGAAGATGATGCTCATTGCTGCCACCGCTGTCCTGTCGCTGTCTGTGGTGGGCACGGCCATGTGGAGGAACATTGATGTGAGGAAGCACAAGCAGGTCAAGGGAACTGTCTTTTAGATAAAAAGGGGGGGGTTGTTGGGCTGGTTATGGTGTTGCGGTAGGGGATTTGATATCTCACTGTGCCGCGTTTGAAACCACCAATGCTTGGTTAGAGTCTGCAGAGCTGTGTTTTTGCAGTGTCAAAGATTACATGTAGCCATTTCTAATACGAATAATGTTTACGACTTATCTGCTGCAGCATCTTTGCAAGTGTGCATGTTATGTACTGGGTAAGTGTCATAAAGCGACTCCTCGTAGATTAATAACATGTAGATAGGTAATAGACATCTTAGAATGCGTGTAACTCTGCGCTTTGTACGATGTGCCTTATTTACAGAGGTCAACTCTGTAATAGAGCACTAGTAAGAGGTTAAAACATGATGGTTCAGAACAGGGTCATAGTATAATATATGTATGTCTTTGAAAGTTCTAAGCTTCTTCATTCTAGGTACCACATGTTCAAATTTCCAAGCAGATAACTCCCAAACGCCGTGACCTCCCCCAGTCCACCCATTGTCCCAGGCCATATGTATATCTCACATTCTCTTCCCTTACACTCACGCAGCAGCAATCTCCTGCTTGACCTCCTTCCGGCCATCCAGCTGCATATACTCCCAGCAAACTGTAACAAAAAAAAACCAATCAGCAAAACTGAACACACACACATACACACACACACACAAACTCCCCCAAAGCAAATCACAACGGTAGAGAAAGGGGGGGGAAGGAAGGGGGGAAAAAAGAAAGAAAAAAGGACTTACTAGCCCAACCCAAATCATCCCTAAAATACGCCTGCATCACCTCCGGCCCCGAAATGAGGCCCCCGTCCGGGCTGTACGCAACTGCGTTCTTCCCCACGGCCAGCCCAATCATCGGCGGGATCTCCTGCAGGTGCTGGAACCGGGGCTCGTGCTGCGCGTCCTGCTGCCGCAGCACGCTCTGGTGGATGTTGTGCGCAATGTAGTGCCCGCCGTGCATGGCGGCGCCGCAGCGCTTGATGCCGGACCACTTGGCCACGTCGCCGGCGCAGAAGTGCGAGGCGGCGTTGGGGACGCTGTTGGGTTCGAAGCTCATGCTGGAGAGAACAAGTTGTTAGCAAATTGTGTTGTGCTGGCTGTTTAATCAAGGAGAGGGATGTTGTTGGTTGAACTTTTGCACTTACTTAGACACAATCTTGACGTAACCTTCGGAATCGACAGCCGACGAAGGGAGATAGGAAGCCGTCGGAGTGCTGTTGGACAGAGCCATGATGACCGCGCTGGCAGTCATCTTGTGTCCATTCGTAAACGCAACCTCGTACCGTGGCGAGCCATCCTCGGTCTCGACCTTGGTAGAGCTGGCCAAGCGATGTCCCATCAGCACCTCGACGCCGGTTTCCTTGACCATGTCCAGCGCCTTATCCCTGCAGTCGTCAGGCAGCGGCTCCGAGGACATGAGCTTGTCCCGCGAGTGCACCAGCGTGACCTTGAGATGAGGCTTCACGTGCTTCAGCTCGGCGGCCATCTCAATGCCAACGGCACCTCCGCCGACGACGACGACGCCATCTTTCGCGTTGTCGAGGGCCTTGATCTGGGTCTCGGCCTCGACGAGGTACTGCTTCCGGGTCAGAGCCTGGGGCACAACGGGCCACACCCTCCGCAGGCCCGTAGCGGTGACGAAGTAGTCGTATTGGTGCGTGACGGCCTCTTTCGTGGTGCCGTCGATGACGGTCGCTGTCTTGGCGGCGCAGTCGACGTTCGATACCGAGCCCTGGACGAATCTGACGTTGGGGAGCTGCAGACCGGGAATATCTTGGAATCGAACCCAGGCTTTCTTTGCGTATTCCGCATCAGCCAGGGCCAGCGGCGAGCCGATCAAGTGGTCTAGATCTCCTCTTAGTGGTAGTTCCAAAGGATTCTATGACGCCTTCGACTTACAATATCCATCTCGCTCATCAGCAATGGTGATCTCAAAGTTCACCTTGGGCACGCTAGGATGGTGCGCATACGGCTCGTTCGACATCCGCGGCGACAAGCCATTCCCCAAATCGAGAAGATTGACAGCCGCAGAGAGGCCTGCATAGGAGCCACCAGCAATAAAGACCCTGACAGCAGGGACGCTCTCCGGAACCGAGCCCATGGCGACGAAGGTGCTTTCGGTAGTAGTAGTAGTAGTAGTAGTATCAGCAAGGCGACGAGAGGGAGAGCAGTGAAGATGACGACGAGCGACAGCACCGAGCTGGACAACAGGGTTCGCGAGATTTCGGTGGCCGGGACTCGTGGCAATACTCGGTCGAGCGCTGGACAAGGGCAAAGTCGAGCTGCTGCTGGTGCAGATTGTGGTCCGCCAGCGCTTGGCCGGCTGCGTCGACGAGGCCAGTTGAGCCGCGATCTGCCGAAAAGCGCCGATATTGCGACCGGATGGCTTCAATGCAGCGCGAGACACGGGCACAGCGTGCAAGTACGAGTAGCAGTTCATCGTTGCGTCGCCGCCACGGTCATCACTCGTGCCAAGGTGTGCGAAGCGGGACCGGTTCCTCCACCAGAGCAAGCATCATCTGCAGTCCGTTGAGCAATCCATCTTCCCCCCCAGTGGGGGTGTGAGCCAAAAGGACCTCTCCCCCAGTTTATACTTGTACCCAACAGCAGCACGCAATTCGCCGAGCAATTACATCTCGGAGGGCGTCCATCTTATCAGATCCGAGGCCAAGGCCGTGAGGCTATGAAAATCCCGGGTCCGGACGGCCGACGCTCCACCTCGAAGACCGAGCAAGTCCAGCGGGATTGTGGTCGCCCGAGCAGACGGTACATCCGAGCACTGGGGAAAAGAGAGAGGAAAACCCCTGGATAAAGAGGCATTTTCTGCGTCAATTCCCTTTACGCAATTCTTTTGTGTTTTCCCCTCGTCTCCCAGGCCGCCAAGTCCGTCCCAGTTGTCGCCTTTTGGCCGATCCTCGGACGCACATGGTGGAGACGCTTCCCGCCGAGAGAAATTATCTGATCCGAACAGGTCCCGCTTGTTGAGGGGCCACACCATGGGGGAGCAAAAGTACCGGTACAAGTGGCCAGACCAGGATAGAACATGGACGAGGGGGCGTGTGTCTTTGAGGGTCGAGGAACATGCCAGTGACAAGCCGGTACCTGTTGCTCGACCTCTCCTCACGAGCCGGGATGGTGGATAGTCTCGGTCTTGTCGTGGTTCCTCTATGGAGCATCTCGTGAAGTTGCAGCACTAGAGCAGAGCTCAGAAAAAATGATACCCTGTCCTGTTTGCTGATCAGCGAGGGCCCATTCCTGGATGCCGAAAGCGTTGCGTGTGCCAACAATGGGAGAAGCCAGACGGGGAAAAAGGCAAAGAGGGAGACGGTCTGGCGGCGTCTGAGTCGTCGAGTCAACCGCGTCCTGCTGTCGATCGTGCAGGCGGACCAGAGCTAGAGGACGTTGTGGGCATTGCAACGACGGCAAGTAAGCGTCCAACTGCCGGAAGCTGTGTTTGTCTGTACCCAGGTATGAAGAGGTCTTAGCTCAGACGGCAGTTCCAATCTTGAACAAGAGACGATTCCATCTCTTCATGCCCGGGCTCAGACGGGCCATGAGAGTGTAGCGGCCCGTAGAGTAACCATCGACAAACCGCTCCTCGCCAGCAATGGCAGCTCAGAACGATACGCCAGTCCCCAATGGTGAGACTGGAGATGCCGCGGTGCCTCAAGTCAGCAATGATACCCAGGTAGAGGCCATCTCCAATGCCAATGGAGAGCCCAACAGAATCAGAAAGGTCAGTTTGATCGGTGCCTGTCTCTGTTCTGCAGACGTCATGAAACTCAATGGGCTCGCATGCTCACAAAAGTGCTTCAGTTCATCTCGGAGTTCTTCACCTACTTCCAGCTGCTCGTCTATGCCGACCCAACATGGAAAGACATCACCCTTCTCGTCATCGGCGCCATCTCTGCCGCGGCAGCAGGAGTCCCCTTTCCTCTCATGGGAATCCTCTTCGGTCAGCTCGTCGATGACCTCAACACCGCAAGCTGTGATAACAAAGACACCTCCGCCGCCGACGCCGCACGAATCCAGTCCTCCGTCGACAGCAAGGTGCTGGAGCTTACGTATATCGGCATCGCCAGCTTTGCCCTGATATACATATACATCGTTTGCTGGAGCATCTTCAGCCGTCGACTGGAAGCCCGCCTCAGGGACCGCTATTTCCAGGCTTTGCTGCGACAGGACGCCACGTTTTACGATCAACGCCAGGCCGGAGAGCTGTCGTCGCGCCTCAATGCAGACATCCAAGCCGTCCAGTCGGGGACTTCCGAAAAGGTCGGCATCTGCATCGCCTGCACATCCTTCTTCTTGACGGCGTACATTGTTGCCTTCATCAAGAACTGGCGGCTTGCGGCCATGCTTCTGTCCCTTATTCCGGCCTTCTTCCTCATGGCAGGCCTGGGCAGCCGGTTTGCGGGCAAATACACCACTGCCATGTCCGACGCGATAGGCTCCGCCTCCTCCATTGCGCAGGAGACATTGTCCAACATTGCTGTTGTCCAGGCTTTCGGTGCCGGCGCGCGCCTCGAGGCCAAGTTTTCCTCCCAGATGATGACGGCTCAGAAAAAGGGTATCAAAAAGGCGTTTGCCGCGGCGCTTCAGGCCGGCACTCTCTACTTCATCGCCTATGCTGCAAATGCCTTGTCCTTCTGGCAAGGTAGCCACCAGATTGTCAAGACCATTGCGGATCCCAGCGGAGTGTCCGTGGGACAGATATACACAGTCATCTTCCTCCTCGTCGATGGTAAGCCCCCGTTCCAGGGCATGCTCCGGGCGACTCTTCGAGGGCCTTCACTGACATTCCACCGTTGTTAGCATGCGTCGTCTTCGGCTCCATCGCACCTCTCTTGCCTCTGCTGGGTGGTGCGTCCACAGCTTTCAAGAAGCTGCGACAAGATATCGAGGCCCCGGCCACCATCAACTCCGGATCCGATTCTGGCGTCAAACTTCCAGACTCCACTCCCGCCTCGATCTCGTTCCGCAACGTCACCTTCGCCTACGTCTCCCGACCGGACCAACCTGTGCTCAAGAATGTCTCATTCGACTGTCCTGCAGGCAAATTCACATCCATTGTTGGCCTGTCGGGCAGCGGCAAGTCCACTGTAGCTGGCTTGGCAACGAGAATTTACGACCCCCAAGAGGGACAAGTGTTGCTCGACGGGCACGACCTGAGGGAGCTGAACGTGAAGAACCTCAGAAGCTTCATCAGCCTCGTTCAGCAAGAGCCTTCGCTGTTGGATCGATCAATCCTGGAAAACATCGCACTGGGACTGTTCAACTCGCCATGGGAGAAGCATCAGAAATTCCAATCCATCATTCTGGGTCAGGGGCTCGCCGACGTGGCAGCCAAAGTAAGAGACGGACAGGACTTGACATCCGTCGCACAGGAACACGGTCAGGACATGGCTGAACTCGTCGAAATGGTCCGCCATGCCGCGTCCCTGGCCGATGCCTCGGGGTTCATTGACAGACTAGAGTATGGATACGGAACGGTCGTTGGTACCTCAGGAAAGCTCGTCAGCGGAGGCCAGAGGCAGCGGCTCGCGTTTGCTCGCGCCTTGATCCGAGATCCCAAGGTCCTCCTCCTCGACGAAGCAACGGCATCCCTGGATTCAGCCAGTGAGCGGCGCATCCAGGCCGCTGTCGAGTCCATCTCCAAGGGCCGTACCATCATCGCCATTGCTCATCGTCTGTCCACGATCCGGAATGCCGACAACATCATTGTGATGAACAATGGCGAAGTCATCGAGCAAGGCACCCATTTGGAACTCATGGCCCTGGATGGTTCGTATGCCGGCATGGTTCGTTTACAGAACCTGGCGTCCAAAGAGCAGGATGACACGCCATCCATGTCCAGCACATCCAAGGGGGACGCAGACCTCGGGCTCTCGGAGAAGGAGGCGGCCCTGGATGACGTTGTGCCAGTGACCAAGGAAGAGTCTGCGGTCTCGACTTCGGCAGATCAGCAGGACTCCAGTCCAGAGGCTGCCGTAGGGGAGGGCAAGGAACTTGAAGGCAACCAGTCAACCTGGAGCATCGTCAAGAGCCTTGGCCTCATGCTTCGACCGCATCTGCTGATGCTTCTCCTGGCCGTCTTCTCTGCCGTCATCGTCGGCGGCACCTTTTCTTCAGCAGGCGTCATCTTTGGCAATACCGTCTCAAACGTGAGCCCCTGCAACTCAACCCATCATATCCTGTGGGCAGGCAAGTTCTTCGGCGGCCTCTTCTTCATGCTGGCCGTGGTTGAATTGTTCGCCTACACGGGAAGCTGGTTCGGCTTTGGTTACATTTCCGAAAAGCTGCTCTACAAGATCCGCGTGCTCAGCTTCCGCTCGCTGTACGAACAGGAGCTGGACTGGCACCAGTCAGAAGGCCGTTCGCCAGCCTCGTTGCTGTCCATCATCACATCAGACGCTGCTGCTGTAGGCGGGTTCAGCGGGTCTATCCTAGGCACCATGTTTTCCATTGTCGTCAACTTCTTGATCGCCATCATCCTTTCCCACATCATTGCGTGGAAGATTGCCATTGTGTGCTTGGTCACAGTCCCGATACTCCTGGGCTCAGGCATCATGCAGGTGCGCGCGTTGTCAAGTTTCGAGCGCAAGCATGCTGGAGCATTCTCCACGGCCTTGGGCATTACCGTCGAAGCCGTCACCTCTTTCAAGACGGTATCCTCGCTGTCCCTAGAGGATGAGATACTGAACACGTATCGTCGAGCCCTAAGAGCCCCGCAGAGAGAGACGGCTCTGGCGAGTGTCTACACCAACTTCTGGCTTGCCATTGCCAACAGCATCGGAAACCTCATCTACGCGTTTGCGTACTGGTGGGGCTCAACAAGAATCACAAAGGGAGAGTACAGCCAGGCCCAGTTCCTCATCATCCTCATGGCCATGCTCGTGAGCGCCCAGCTGTGGGGTCAGATGTTCACGTTGGCTCCCGAGGTCTCGCGAGCCAAGTCGGCAGCAGCCAGGATCCTAAATCTCATCAACCTCGGGTCTTCGAAGCGTATCGGTGCCAAGGATGCCGAGCTGGCCATCTCCTCACGGGGAGAAAAGGATGTTGAAGCTACACCAGATGCAGTCTCAAGTCGCGTGCTCAGTCCCAACCGTGGTGGCGCCACAGTCACTTTCCGAGATGTGTCATTTGCGTATCCTGCCCGGCCGCATATCTCAATCTTGAAGAACATGTCATTCACGATACCGGCTGGCCAGTTTTGCGGTCTCGTGGGCCCGTCGGGAGCTGGCAAGTCCACGATCATGTCACTCGTTCAGAGAATGTATCGCCCTACCAGTGGAGTCGTCGAGATCGATGGGGTCGATATTTGCGCTCGTGAGGGTGCGGACTTCCGCCATGATATTGCCGTGGTTCCCCAGGACTGTGCGCTCTTCGATGGAACTGTCAAGTTCAACGTAGGACTCGGTGCTGTTCCAGGCCGCGAAGCGACAGACGCGGAGATCGAAGAAGCTTGCAAGCTCGCCAACATCCACGACACCATCATGACACTTCCCGAGGGCTATGAGACAGAATGCGGCCCCAACGGATCTCGATTGTCCGGTGGACAGCGTCAAAGGCTGGCCATTGCGAGAGCACTAGTCCGAAAGCCGCGGCTATTGCTGCTCGACGAAAGCACCAGCGCCCTCGACGCAGAGAGCGAAAAGGCACTGCAGAAGGGCCTGGAGCAGGCGGCTAGAGGCATCACCGTGATCGCCATCACCCACAGGCTGCACACTGTCCGCAAGGCCGACGTGATTTTTGTCGTCGAGGGCGGCCAAGTGGTCGACAAAGGACGTCACGAGGAGCTTGTGGAGAGGAGCGAGTCGTACCGGATCAATGCCCTGCAGCAAATGTTAGGATAGATAATGGCGGAAGTGAGGGCTAGTAGGTAATGATAGAGCATATACACACACACATCATGAACACATGTAGTAATCCCGAGCATTAGAACTTATAGATAGATAATACGATACCAGCCAATCGCTAGAACCAATTCCCACACGTGGGGGATCGAGACGCCATGAGCGGCTTGCCAGGGGAAATATATAGCTGAGGCAGCAGCATCTTGGAATGCGGAAGCGTCGCTATTCGCTGTGTCTGCGCCGACCAGGCGAGAAGGAGGTCTCGCGATCAAGTCATCTGGCCGCCCCCTCGCTTCCAACTGGATCGCACACGGGATGATCCCCGCGCTGCAGAGCCGGAGGGCTTACAGCGTGCATGGGCCGCTGCCAGCAGCTGTCATGACGCTGCCATGCGCTGTAGCCGGTGCGTTCCGCCGCTGCCGCCCCCCCCTGACCCCCCAAATCTGGAACCCCCTAGACACCTAGATATGGAGGTAGCGATCAGTGACCTCAACGAACCCTTTAGCGCAGGGCTGTCAGCTACAGGTCACATGCCGCCTCCGCCCCTGAGCCAGTTACAGCTCGCTGATTTCCTCTCCCTGTCTCCATACTAACGTCAAGACCAGGTTGCGATAAGGCACCACCCCAAGAGTCGCACTGTTATTCTGGAGCCCGGTAGCGCCGCAATCGCGCCTTGGGGTTTGAATCGGCGTTGCCTTGCCAGGCCAGGCCACGGACTGACTCAAAGGAGCTTCCAGGCGGACAAGACTCCGGTCGATCGGCATACCTAGTACTCGTGGGGAGCGCGAGGCGTCGACCTGTACTGATCAAGTAGAGTTTGATCGCTTCCCGGCCAACAAGCCTCCGTCCTTCAAGCCACGAGACCTTCACAACACAACCCTCGGGGAACCGGCCAGAACTCGACACACCAAGCCGACACACCACACTACTCGGACCAGCACTACCTATCTCAGACACAGCACCACACACACATTCCACCATTCCGTCCCAGCAGCGATCTGGCAATCCCTCCTCCTCTGTTCCTGCTACAGACCTGACCCCATCTTCCGTCAACGACAACCCACGCTCGAGCGGTGCTCTTGAGCGAGGAGGGAGTGTGCAATTGGCTGGCAAAAGCGCCTCGTCGCCATCCGTCTCGCCCGACACCTACGAGCTCGACGACTACAAAGAGATCGCCGAGCGCAACGCCATCCAAGACCGCCAACGCCAACGGCAGGAGAAGAGAGCGCTCAAGCGACAGTGGCTCGAGACACGGGACGAGATGAAGTTCTCTCACAGCATTCAGTTCAATGCTGTTCCGGACTGGAGCAGCCACTACATTGCGTACAGCAATCTCAAGAAACTGTGAGGCTCGCCGGTCTGGTCCGCGGAAAGGAGGTGTAGCTGTCAACTAACCTATCGTCGTCCCATTAGGATATATCAGCTTGAGAAGAGTGTGCACCAGGCACGGGGTGGCGATGGCGAATCGCGACCCCTGATATCGGCCGAGGAGCCAGAAGACGTCTTCACCAAAGCCCTCGGCATCGAGTTGGAAAAGATATGCTCCTTCTACTCGCTCAAGGAGGGCGAGCTGCTCGAAGAAGTCAGCCAACTCCTGCACGACGTCGGAGAGGGCCCATCGATGGAAACATCCACCACCTTGCGCCCAACGCAGTCCGAAACGCAGAGTGCCCACGCTCGAGCCACCAGTCTGCGCAGCCACGGCTCCGACGATGACGACAGCGCAACCGACGACGACGAGACCACGGGCCTCACAAAACGCAGAGGCAGCAAATATGGGGGGAGGAGACGGACTGCGTCTAGCATCCCGGACATGGCTGCGTCTTCAGAATTCGGGCGCTCCAGAAGGTACAGCACCACCATTGATGACTACGGCGACCAGTCTCTCCTCTTCGGCTCGACGCTGTACTCGTCCGGCATCATGCTCAAGAAGCGCATCATATCCCTCTATGTTCAGCTCTGCGAGCTCAAGTCTTACGTGCAGCTGAACAAGACGGGCTTCAGCAAGGTGCTCAAGAAGTTTGACAAGATTCTTGACAAGGAGCTGCGGTCGTCCTACATCAGCACCTATGTCGATACCGCATATCCCTTCAAGCCAGAGACTAAGCAGCTGCTCGACGAGAATATTGCCAAGATGGAGGTTGCCTATGCCGAGATTGTCACCGCCGGCGATTTGGAGCTTGCCAAGAAGGATTTGCGTTCTCACCTCCGGGAGCACGTTGTTTGGGAACGCAACACCGTTTGGAGAGATCTCATCGGTATTGAGCGAAGAGCAGAGGCTGCCCGATTTGGCCAAACGCTGCTGGGACAGGACGCCGGCATCGTGCCAAAGAGATTGCAGGGCGATGACGAGATTGGGCCGGCAGAGACGCAGATCAAAACGCCCATTGGCAGAATCGTCCTGCCATCGTGGCTTTCCAACAGCTCTGTGCTCACCCTGTTCATCTCCGTGGCAGCTTTCCTCACCCTCCTGCTTGTTCCCATACTGCAGAACCCTGAGCAGCAGAACTGTCTGGCACTTCTCGTTTTCGTCAGTCTGATGTGGGCTACCGAGGTATGTCACGTTGAGCATGTCCGATTTCCATCCTCTTTACTCGCTAACTGTCCACGCAGACTATCCCCCTGTTTGTCACGTCTCTCTTTATCCCCTTCTTGGCTGTCGTCCTCAGAGTGGTCCGTGAGGAGGATCCAAGCAAGCCCCCGAAGCGCCTGACCTCAAAGGAAGCTACCTCGGCCATCTTCGCCTCCATGTGGTCGCCTGTCATCATGCTCCTCATCGGCGGCTTTACTCTGGCTGCTGCTCTATCCAAGTGCAAGATTGACAAGCGCCTTGCAACGCTCATTTTGAGCAAGGCTGGCACGCAGCCCAAAACGGTTCTGCTCGCAAACATGTTCGTCGCAGCCTTTGCGTCTATGCTCATCAGCAACGTTGCTGCCCCTGTCCTCTGTTTTTCCATCATCGAGGTATGTCTTTGATATCCTTGCGTCATGATCCCGGATTGTATGTTCTGACCTGCCATCGCAGCCCATGTTGCGGACTCTGCCAACGGACTCGAACATGTCCAAGGCTGTCATTATCGGGATCGCTCTCGCTTCCAACATTGGCGGTATGCTGTCGCCAATTGCGTCGCCGCAGAACGTCGTGGCCATGGGAATCATGCAGCCTGAACCGACATGGCTCCAGTGGTTCTTTATCGTCATCCCTGTTGGCATCGTCTCAATCATCCTGATCTGGCTCCTTTTGCTGATCACGTTCCAACCTGGCAAGGGGACGACTATTGCGCCTATTCGCCCCCTCAAGGAAAAGTTTACCGGCGTTCAGTGGTTTGTCACCATTGTTACCGTCATCACCATCGTTCTGTGGTGCACTAGCCATACCCTCGAGGCCGTGTTTGGAGACATGGGTGTCGTGGCCATCATCCCCATTGTTCTCTTCTTTGGTATCGGCATCTTGACCAAAGAGGACTTCAACAACTTTCCTTGGACCATCATCATCCTGGCCGCCGGTGGCTTGTCGCTCGGCAAGGCTGTCCGGTCTTCGGGCCTGCTCCATACCCTTGCCGAGGTTATTTCGCACAGGGTCGAGGGCATGAGCCTGTACGGTGTTCTCGTGGTGTTTTCCTCGCTGATTCTCGTCATTGCCACCTTCATCAGCCACACGGTCGCCGCCCTCATCTTCCTTCCGCTGGTGTACGATGTCGGCGTGGCCATGGAGCAGCCGCACCCTAACCTCCTGGTGATGGGCGGAGTTTTGATGTGCAGTGCCGCCATGGGTCTGCCTACCAGTGGTTTCCCCAATATGAGTAAGTCCCCGCCACCATTCCCCTCTCCCATGCAGAGCATTTGCTAAAATGGCATAGCCGCAATCATGAAGGAGGACGCCACGGGTCAACGGTACTTGAGTGTGAAGCACTTTATAAGCCGTGGTGTGCCCAGCAGTTTGATCACACTGGTGGTTGTCGTGACTCTCGGCTATGGCATCATGGAAGTTGCCGGCTTGGACTAGTTGTCAGTTTAGTCGAGACGAAGCTGTTTGTTTGGCGGGCGAAGAGAGTATACATGTATAGAGTCAGATGTAGGTCAGGTTTGCAAGGCATATGGGTCAGGCGGGTTATACGGAGTATGTGATGTGGAATTGTTCTTAAGATTTGAGAATATAGATGGTGCTTGATGTTACTGTTGACTGAAATTGCGTGTATCATTGCTTAAATCTAGGTATCGAACAACGTCTCTGTCTTAAACTGGTTTGCCCCCGGAATCTAGCACATACGACCATAGGTAGTGGAAAACTCGGGGTCCCGTCCGCTCCCCCATAGATAAGCCACTAACCGGCAGATTAGTAGTTGGGTGGGTGACCACCAGCGAACACCGGCTGTTGTATGTTTTTGTTTCTCTTTTTGCTCCTTCATACTCGTGATGTGTTGAGGTTCTTATAGTTGTCTGTGAAGGCTGGTGTTGTTTTCGGTTGTGTTGGGCGCAGTCAGATCTAACAGTACTGTTTAGAGATGTATGCACTGTGTCGCAAACTGCCTAACGTTGTTGCACTAGGGCCGCAACGCTACGGCATTGACGTCGTTGGGATAAGAGATAGCGGCACCTGACGTGGGATAGCTCTGGCACCTCCTTCAGGCAAGAATGGCACCTTGAATCTGGCACCTCGGCTTAAACCGTCCAAACCGCAATCCAGAAGTGAGAGAAGAAGAAGAGAAGAGGAAGAACCAAGGCTCTCAATCCCATCGCCAGCCATCTGATGCACGTCTTGAAAGGATAACCATCACCCTTCCCAGGAGCTGGCCATGCTCTCCGCCTTTACAGCTCGCCCCATCATAGAGCTCCGGCAGCGGGACAAGTCCAAGATCGAGACGATCCTCGCGTATGGTATGGATGCCCGGCTGCTCATTGATGCGCCCCCTCGCTCTCTGCGTCCTCTCTGACCGCGTCTCCAGGCGACCGCATCCTCGTCGGGCTCAACAACGGCGCCCTTCGGGTCTACCGCCTCAACGAGCTTCCCGCCAACGGCTCCCCGACGCCGCCTCCACACACCGCAAATGCAAATGCGGATGCGACTCCTCCGCAGAATGGCGACCACGCAGCCGCGGACGCGGTAGCCAAGCCGACGGATCTGCTGCGGGAGGTGGAACGCTTCTCGACGCGGGCGATTGAACAGCTGGCCATCATCAAGGAGGCCAACATCATCGTGTCGCTGTCCAACTACCACGTCTCTCTCCACGATCTGCAATCATACGACCTCATCGAGACCCTTTCGCGGACCAAGAATGCGTCCTGCTTCGCCATCACGTCCAACATCGTCAGAGACCCCGACACGGGCGTGCCCGAAATCATTAGCCGACTGGCCGTTGCCGTCAAGCGGAGGCTTCTGCTGTGGAGCTGGCATGAGAGCGAGCTCAGCAACGATGTCTCGGAAGTGGTGCTCTCCGAGTCGATTCGATCCATCACATGGGCGAGCGCGACAAAGCTTGTCTGCGGCATGAATGGAGGCTACGTCATCGTCGATGCCGTGACACAACACGTTGAGGATATTGTGAGCCCGGGTGCGGTGGGAGTGTCTGGCCAAGGCAGCCGCTTCGGAGCCATGAGCAGCGCGGGAATGGGGTACATGGGCCTAGGAAACTATGTACCCAAACCTCTGGCTGCCAAGCTGTCTGATGGAGAAATGCTTCTTGCAAAAGACATCAACACGTTGTTCGTCAACGATGAAGGCAAGGCGTTGGAGAGGAGACAGATCCCGTGGCAGTCTGCCCCTGACTCCATCGGGTACTCATATCCGTATATCGTTGCGCTGCAGCCTCCGTCCAAGGGCTCTCTTGAGGTCCGGAACCCCAAGACTCTGTCCCTGCTGCAGACAATTACGCTGCCTGGCGCCGCCCAGCTGCATTTCCCTCCGCCTACCGTCAGCCTAGCTCATGCAGGCAAAGGATTCCACATCTCTAGCGACCGCTGCGTGTGGAAAATGGAAGCCACAGACTATGACTCGCAAATTGAGGAGCTCATCGAGAAGGGCAAGTTTGATGAAGCCATTAGCATACTGGAGATGCTTGAGGATGCTCTCTTGAAAAACAAGGCAGAGACGCTCAGGGAGGTCAAGATGCTGAAGGCGGAAAGTTTGTTCAAGCAAAAGAAGTTTCGACAAGCAATGGATCTGATGAATGAGGACGATGTACATGCGCCGCCAGAACGGGTCCTCAGGATGTTTCCTCCTCTTATCGCAGGCGAACTATCCAGATGGGCCAACTATCAGGAACCCCAGGAGAATGCCGAAGCAAACACGAAAAAGACTAATGGAACGAGGTCAAGCAGTCCCGAAGCTGTCAGTGAACCTGTCGGGTCGCCCACCGCTGTAGGAGGGTTTGCCAAGTATTTCAAGGGAGCGCAAAGGAGGCCGCAAGCCGACGTCGCCTCCATCATCTCGAAGAAGGATGGAGAAAACGACGATTCAGACAACGCCAAGGAAGCGCCCGCATCAGAAGACAGACCGCTTTCGGGTAAAGAGCTCACAAAGGCCGTCCTGGAGCTGAATAGCTATCTCGCTGGCACCCGTGCCCGCCTCCAGCGTGTCATTGATCCAGTCACGGGCAAGTTGAAGCCACGAACAGACCAGCCTGGCTCGACAAAAGAGGCGGAAGACCGGATGCTGAAGCTGAGCATGGATGAATCTGACATCGAGCGCGAGCAAAAGCTTCGTGAGACTTTCCGGCTGGTCGATACAACTCTGTTCCGCGCCTACATGTTCTCACAGCCGTCGCTTGCGGGCTCTCTGTTCCGCATTCCCAACTTTTGCGACCCCGACGTCGTCAACGAGAAGCTGCTGGAACACAATCGTTATACGGAGCTGATTGACTTCTTCCACGGCAAGAAATTGCACAGGTCGGCACTCGACTTACTACACAAGTTCGGCGCCGCACCGAAGCCAAACGAGGCTGCCCCGGCCTTGCACGGTCCAGATCGCACCATACAGTATCTACAAAGCCTTCCTCCCTCCGAGATTGACCTCATCCTCGAGTACGCGGAATGGACGCTAAAGGCGAATCCGGAATACGCAATGGAGATATTCATAGGCGATACGGAGAACGCGGAGACCCTGCCGCGCGAAAAAGTCTTGCCGTATCTGCAGAAACTAGATGAGAAGCTGGAGAGGCAATACCTAGAGCACATTATCATGGAACTCGACGATACGACGGCAGATTTCCACAACCGGCTCGTCGAGCTCTATGTGTCGAGCCTGAGTAATAGCGAGAGGGGACATGATTGGGATGACCTGGAAGAGAGATTTGTCAGGTTCCTGCGAGAATCACGACAGGTCTACAGTCTCACGAAGGCATTTGCGTTGATTCCCAAAGATGGTAAGGCGAACTATCATGTTTGGACAAGCGTCAGGGAGGCTAACCGCAGACAGATCCCGCCTTCTTCGAAGCGCAAGCTGTCGTCTTGAGCAACATGGGCCAACACAGGCAAGCTCTCGAGATATATGTGTTCAAGATGAAGGACTATGTCAAGGCTGAAGAGTACGTGTTTGAAACCTTCTGAACGAGGGCTGAAGACAGTAAAAGCTAACTCCCACTCAGCTATTGTAACCGTGTATACAGACAGCAAGCCCCATCCGCAAATACGGATGACTTGGATGACTCGGGCTCATCCGTATACCATACGCTACTTTCCCTCTATCTTCAACCTCCTCCGCCGCACAAGCCCAATCTGGAGCCGGCGCTGGATCTGCTATCCAAGCACGGCTCTCGCCTCCCCGCCACTTCGACACTCGGCCTGATCCCCAACGATCTTCCCGTGGGCTCTCTGGAGGCATATTTCCGCGGCAGGATAAGGGCCGCCAACAGCCTCGTCAACGAGTCCCGGATCGTGGCAGGGCTGCGCAAAGCAGAGGGCATATCCGTGGCCGCCGAGCTACAGCTCGGAGACGGCAAGCCTGGAGGGCAAGGCGGTAGGAACCGCCATGTCATTATTACAGACGAAAGGCATTGCGTCGTGTGCCACAAGAAGCTGGCCGGTGGAATGAGGATGGGCGGGAGCGTCATCGCCGTGCTGACGGACAATACAGTCGTCCACTATGGCTGTCTGAGCAGAGCGACGGGCTCCAAGGCGGATGGACTGAGGAAGCCCAGCTGGGGAAGAGGTTTCTAGACGCTCCCAAGTTGTCGCATAGCTTTTCCCATTCTTCTGTTCCATTCCTTTTCGTCTCCCCCATCTCTTTAGCTAGGTTGCCCTTTGTTCTTTCTTCTCTGGAGTCGTCTCTTTGGGGGTTGGCTTGTATCTGCTTCGTTTCGATGTGGCTATACCCTTCTTGTCCACATCTCAAGGGCGCGTAACTTAATCCTCCATAAAGCGTACGTTTGTGCGTCGCCGCATTTACCCGCGAAGAAGAAGCCTCTTCAAGTAATATGGAAGAATCCGTTTTGTGCTGTTAATCTTCTTCTCCTTGGACCTCCTCGCCGTAATTCTCCTCCTCCTTCTCGTCGTCCACGGGGTGCTTCAGGCCAGCAGCCTCCTCGCGCTTCTTGTCCTCTTTCATGCGCGCCGTGAGCTCCTGGTTGATCTTGTCCTGGGCCGAAGCGACCGAGGCCCGTAGCGCTGCGAGATATTTCGATTTCGAGGCCGCGTCGAGGGAAGCAGTCGGCGGCGGCGCGGGGATGGATTCGGCGATGGCGAAGGGGGCGTTTGTGGGGGAGGTGTAGGATGTTGTGAGGGTTGTTGTTTGGGGGGCCATTGTGAAGGGGAGGAGGTTGCTGTTTGTGGGTGAGATGATATGGGATGCAGGAGGAAGAGCAGTTGTTTTGTCTGTGATTGCGGCGTGGAGGGTGTAATTGGTGGTTTGGTGGGGTAGACGGCAACTTCGTGGAGGGGCAGGAAATCGAAATGATGAGAATTGAGATCACGTGGCTGGGACTGCGAGGGACTCATTACGCCTTGGAGTCGCCTTTTGACAACCTTGGAAGTTGACAGTGACTGAATTAATTGGACGCTGTATGATTGATGTTGAGAATCATTGCTATTTGCCACATTGAACAATACTGTACGTGACCACGGTTGGTGGGGAGTCAGTCCCATCAGACACGGTACCGCCTGGATTGATACGCGATGCGGCTCCTCTACAGAACCATGGGAGACTAGGTCAATCAGCCAGCAGGTGTGGCAGAACACCAGACAATGGCTTGGACTTCATCTACAGGTATACAGGCCAGAGGTGGAAGTTTCAAACGTCCCACGAGGAAATACACATCATTGTGCCAGGTGAGTCATCCATCCGATCGCTGGCAGTAGGACGTCATATGGACAGGCCCGGCCGAACGCCAAGGTGGATGAGATGGAACAACTTCGTCACAAGGAATCAGAGGCCAAATTAATCACGAGCAGCTGGGATCGGTCCCAGGGGGCACAGCATGGCAGCAGTGACCATAAACGTGGAGTATCTAGGTGTCTCGACAGAGAATGCAAACCCGTTAGTAGTATTCTTGCAACGTCCAATGAGCTGGGGGGATTCTCTGCATAGCTATCCATACCTGAGGAGAAAAAAAGGTGAAGCATCGCCCTCAACAGAATGATCGGAATTGTGTGATTCCTCTTGCCGAAGCAAGACGAACGCTGCATATCGCACTCAAGTTTGCGCAACAAGCTTCGCAACGACTTCCCAGAGGCCACCGGGAACAAAAGAAGAAACCACGAGAGTCCCTTCTTCTCCCGGGCCTGAAGATTTCTGATGTCTGTTGCAGACGTCGGTGTGACGCCAGGCCATCACAGGCGGACCCGAACAATCACGGCGCATTCGAAGAACACGGCGTGAAAGTCGAGCACAGGAAGGCAAACACACGAGGTGTCCCCTTCCTGCTTTGAAGCTTTCTCCGAATTTCCCACATGCGAAAGAGTTCCCCAAAAGGGTCGAGAAAGGCCCGCTTGCGCAGGGGCTTTCTCCGTTTGTAGCATGGAAACGCAGCGTTGAAGAGGGCGATGCTTGGGGGGAGGGAAAGGGAAGCAAAGCTGAGCGCGCGAGAACTTTTTTATACCCTCTTTTTTTGCTTGGAGCTTCAGCCGGCGCTAGGAGGAGTGTGAGCCCCACGTGCAGCAGCAGCAGCCGCCAGAGAGCCTCAACGACGGGGGGGAGGTACTTGTGCGGGCAGCGGCTGTTGGAGCGCAAGCGAGGTATTACTTCTGTTTCAAGCGGAGATTAATTGATATGAGGACGGCAAGCCAACAGTGATAGGTATGGAAGCTAGACAAATTACCCTTGAATACACTATAGTATTCCGCTTCTCCTCCATCTTTCCGGGCGCCTGTGTATCTATGCTCTGGACGCTGTAGATTCGATTGACTGGAAGACAGGCGGCGATCCGTGCGGCAAAGGGCAGTTGAGTTCAATGCGATAGGACGCCTCATGCATCGTCATCCCGCTAGCGGCAGCACTGGGCGCAACACCACCTCACGCCTCCAACCATCCATCAGCACCATTGAGCCTCTGATTGCAATAGCAGGCAGGCGATCTGTTCTCCTCTCAAGCACTTCATCCTCTTCAACTTCTCGACCTCCTCCTCTTGCGCTACGCCGCCGTCGTCTTCCGTCTCTCAAGCCTCCATCCAATACCCCATCGACGCCTAGTAGGGCAATTTACCCGCGGGGTCTGGCGGCGATCTCGAGCCTGTCGAGCCGACGCCCGCATCGCCTCGCCTCGCCTCGACGTCCGCGGCACAAGTCAAGATGTAACAGAAGCCTCTCGGTCCCGCAAAGATGCAACCTACAACCTCGTCCTCGGGCCGGTCCCAGGGCCGCCCTCCGGGGAGCTTCTCGCCCTTGCCTGGCCTGCCGCGGTCGTCTAGCGACCTCAACCAGGCGCCGGGCTCGTCTCGACCACCTCCCCTGCGCATCGCCCAGCAGTAGCGAGGAGAGCTCGCCCGCCAATGCCATCCCCAAAGCGCGCCAGCCCAGCGTCAACACCCCCTCCACGCCGATATATCAGCAGCTGGCCGCCAGCCATGCCAGCTTGAACAGCCCCAGCGCCCAGCAGTCCTATCCTCGCCCGGCCGCTCCCCGAACCGCAGCCCAGGGCTCGTCGTCGTCGCCCGTCCTCAAGACCCATTCCCGGAAGCACGCCGCCACCCAGGGCATGTTTGAGCCCACTCTGCCCTCGACAAGCACATCCAACCTGTCGCAGGTCGGCATGGGCCCCAACAACCAGGCTTCGGGCTCTGCAACTGCGGGCTTGTCGGCTAGCCAGATCGCCGCGCAGGCCGCTGTCATGTCCCACCAGAATACCCTCCAGTCGCGCCAGCGGTCCCAGACGGCTCCGGAAACCGAGAACACTCGAAGGGGCAGCGGCGGCAAAGGCCCTATAAGCCCTCCTACTCTGAGCCTGACGGAGGCGAGCGCGCCCAGGGAGTCCGCCTTCAGTGCTCAAGGAGGAGCGCATCAGGACAGGCTGGGGGCTGCCTCGCAGTCTTCGGCTGCTGCTACGGCCGCGGCCAATGTTGTGTTTCCTCGCTCTGGAGGCAATTCCCCTCGAGACCCGTCCGTATCTCCACAGCCGCTTCCGTTCCCAACTCTGCCCACCACGGCCTCTACCCACACCGTTTCAGAAAAGGTTCTGTCAAAGTCAGAAAAGGCAAAAGCAAAGCTATTCTCGCGGCCGTCCAAGATCAGTGCCAAGGACACCAAGGAAAAGGCACTACCCAGCCCCGGTAAGATTGGGTCGGCCTTGTCGGCTCTCCAACGAAGCAACTTCAGCTCGACGAGCCTCGTCGATCCCAATGGCCAGTCGTTTTATAATCTCAACAACTCCTCGTCCGCTACCATCCGAGCAAGCGAGGTGACTGGGGAGGAAAAGACCAAGGAGAAGGAGAAGAAGCACCACTTTCTTTCGAGGCAGAAACAGAAGCTCAAGGACGAATACCACTTGCCTCTGTCGTCGGCCGCCAGCAACTCAAGACCCAGCGACCCCAATGCACCCAGCAGTCTTTATAACTTCAGCGTCCCGGCCAGCCCCGGTCCTACCACGTCTACCTTTGCCAAGGCCAAGAAGGACAAGAAGAATGCCGAGAGATCGGACAGCCGGATGGACAGTGAATCTGTCCCTGGAGATTGGCCAGGGAGTAGCAGCCTGCCGTCCACGTCACATCAGTCAAGCAGCCTATTCGAGCCAATAGATGGCGGCAAGTCGGCGGCAGTGGGCTTGTCCATGGACGACGCCTGGCATTATCTTAAGCCAAAGCTCCTTGTCATCTTCCAGGGTGAGGATCTCCGTATCCCGGTTGAAGACATCAACCGGATCGTCAGCCTACATATACAATCGTGCGTCCACAAAAGGTCACCGAACAAAATGCTAGAGGACCTCAGGGAGCTTTTGTCCACGGGCTTCGCCACAATGGACAAGACGCTACGGAAGACGCCAGAGGAGCGCTTCATGCCGACTCTCGTCGAGCTGTGGCTCTTCACCTTTACCTCCATCCTGCCGTACATGCAAGCGGCATTACTACCCCTTGACTTGGAGGTCTCTGGTTGTGGAACCATCATGACGGCCGAGCAAGCTCGCGACTTTTGGGGCGGCGTTGTTACCGCTCCCTCCCCATCACCATCGGCAGGGCAACCAGCTCAGGTCCTGCCTGCTTCTGCCGTTCTCGATGTGAGACGGCTAGTCTTGACGGCGTATCGTGACGCCGTCATCCTACCGCGATACGACACACTCAAGACAATATTCTCTCGCCTGTCACTGGAATTTCTTCCGTCCGCGTTTGCCAACATGGCACTCGCTTCTCCGCCTCTGGAACCCAGTCTCTCCGCGTCGCCTCCCGAGTCCTTCTTTTCCATGGCCCGTCCAGGCACGGCCATGTCGCTCGACCCGTCAGTGGGATCGTTCAACTCCACGAGCACCACCCTCCTGGGTGACGGCTCTGCTGGCAGCCGTAGTCGGGCTGTGAGCAACGTCAGCCTCGGCAGCCGGAACAGCGACGGAGTCATCCGCCCCTTTACGCCGTCGGGGATGCAGGCCCTCAGCAGCGTCCGTGAGCAGAACGTCGAGGACTCGAAGCAGGTGGCTGACATGGTAGGTCGGATGCTCCAGTGCATGAGCGTGCTCTCGAGCATCGGCGGCGTAGGAGGCGATGTCGACGACGAGGGCAACAGGAAGATGGTTGAGCTGTGCAAAATGCTCAAGCTGAACTGGCTGGGCAGGGGCCGGACGGGGCGCAACAGGATGGGCATTGTGGGGGGTAGAGTTCGGAGGGATGAGATTCGCGAAGAGGTGAGGGTGGTTTAGCCCTTTCCTCCCCTTTGGCTGTCTTTTTTGTGAAATTTTGATTTTTTTTTTTTTTTTTTTGCGGATCTGGCGTTTCTTCTTGAAGAGGAGAGGATATTGAGTATCGTTTTTTGTCGAGCCGAGGTGAGGCTTTCCTGGAGTATGGGGATATGGCGTTTTTCTTGGTGAGGGTAGTATACGAGTACTGCCGTCTGGGAGCAATTTGACTCGACATGTACTGGAGAATAGGCGACACAAGCACTTGTTAGGGATAAGAAGTTGCACTTGAGGCAAAGAATCGGTCACGATGCCGTGTATGTTTGATGTACGCGTCTTCTTGAATTGACTCTTTGTCTTTGCTTCATTATCATGCCGCATCTACGCAGAACACACACGCCTGGCTTCCACCACCACTTCACAAATGACCACCCAGTCACATCAAGAATATTTCACGAAGAAGGTATTTGTCTTCTTTCCATCTTCTACAATTTCGTTTCATCTCGTCGTGACAAATATCCAATGCCATATTCTTCAAATATACCCTATAGGGTAGCCTCTTACGAACAACAGACCCGAACGTTTCCAAGGACCTGGAGCTGATTATTGCAAGCAAGTCTCAAGCTACGCCGCAAATGGCTTAAAGCACCGCGTCCAATCTCGCAACAAGGGTCCAAAGAGACGGGGAAAAAAAAGATGAAATGAAAAGAACGATAAGAGTAGAAAATCCAGGCACCAGGAGCTCCACTAAAAAGTTCCAGATTACGATAATCTGCATCATTACGAAATTTCGAGAAGCAAAGAGAATTGGCACGCCAAAGAGACACGAAGAACATTGAGGCAGCATGTGAGAGGGAATTGCATCTATTTTCATGATATGGATAGGCTATCAAGAAAGTATAATTCTACGAGGAGCAGGTGTGCTCAGAAAGTCCTAGTCAATCTTTGCAGAGTTAGCTTGCTGTTCAGCTGAGAAACGGAAGACCCAAGCCAACAACGGGGAAGAGACAACAAAAAGAAAACAAGACATGTGTGTTTGATCAGACATCCAAGGAAGTATTAACCCTCATCTGTTCCAGAAAAGGCTCAACGGAACTCGAGTGGAAACTGCGAATGTATGGAAAATTTCATCATAGAAAAACACATGTCGAAAAAGACTTGGTGCAAAAACCAAAACGCAAATAGAGACTCACCATATGAATATCGACGAATAAGCTTTCGTGGACTGTAGGGCTGGTTAGTCGAGGAAAGAAGTTGTGTAGCACGCGAGACAAGATCTAGAAAAGTCTGGGGCCATGGTTAGCACAGCCGGTCAAGCACAGAAAACAGATTCTGCAATGAGAAGGAGAGAAATGTGTAGGTCAGACAAAGTATACTGGCAAGTAACAGACCCTGAGGATCCGAGTAGTCAAAACTTCTTCATGGTCGATTCGGTTGGGAAAAGAAGACGATTTTAAAGTGTCATCATGAAAAGGGGAAACCACACAAAGGTGATTTGTGTTGTGGGAAGAGGCACGCAAAAGTGAAAAGACTTACCAAAAGCCAAAACCGGCGGATGCAAACCAAGCCTCAAGCTTCCCTGACAACCGCGTTGCCTTTTCCCATCCAACAGCGAAGAGTAAAATCAAAACCAGCGGGAGCCGAATCACACTCTCGAGTTCAACTCGCCGTCGTCGAGGAAAAGGCAGCCGAGTTTGTCAGGGTTGCAGCAAAAGTTTGCTGGCGGAAGGTTTGGAAGGTTTGAAGGAAAAGTTCCGTCGGGAGCTCGAAGTTATTCAAAAACAGTGCTAGCAAAAATTTTCCTGCGCAGACTGCACTGTACAGCCTTCACGTGACTCTTCTGCCCGCTTAAGGCGTTAGCGGCGGCAGCCGAGAAATGGCGCCTCGGGATGTGCATTTGGAACCGGAAATCTGCTAAGGCTGAAAGCAGCGGTACCTACGACATACCTACGACACAGGTGACGCGGGCTGTGTTCGGCATGGAGACTTGATGTAGTTCTGCCACAGGAACTAGAGTAGAAGATCAAGAATACATATAATTCAAGATCGAGATGCGCTGCACTCATCATGATCTGTGATTAGGTAGATCTGCCACCTGTGACGGTTCCCCAGCCGCAAATGTCTCAAGCCTTGTTACCACGGCTGTCAGATTGGTGGGAGAGACACGATTCGATTTGGGGGTCCGCAATGGATTGCCAGGTACCACGGACTCCCGTCCGCCTCTCGGGGATGCGTGTAGGAGATGCTACCGACCTGCGTACAGGCATATACCGATGCTAGCGGTGCAGCTAGCGCCGTACGGCCCCGGTAGAGAGATGGCAGATACAAGTACGCATGAGCATGTCAAACCGGACCCAGCCACCAATTTTGGGGGTCTTGGGCATGGTGGGAATGGTCGAAAGGCTGAGGCGCGTCTGAGGTCTGCCGTGGACTGACAGAGTGCGAGAAGAGCCGATGGAAAGTCATACCAAGCAAGAAGACGTCTTTTCTGACATCGGGTGCACCTTGGGCAGCTGGAGGATGGATCCGTGACAGCAGAGCGAACCGCTCAACAAATATTCCAAACTTTGCAATGCAGGTTAGCGTGTCTGGCACCAGCCCTGAAGTTTGAAGCTCCCATATAAATACTGCCGATTGCCCGCCATCCATCCTCGTCTGGCGGTTATACTTTGCTTGCTTGCCATCCTCTCTGCCTGAAATAGGTACATGCTAGTAGTACCGATTGTGCTGGAGGGGTCCTCTTCTAACTTTCTTCTCAATTTTTCTCTCACACTTTTTTATTCATTTGTCGCTTCTTCTCTTTCTCTCGCTCATCTTTGCTGCCACTGAGCAAAGAAGCGCTACAATACTGCTACACACTCTCAAGCCTCTCTCTCTCGCTGACCCTTTGATTGCCATCGTCAGAAGCGGGGCTTTGGCACGGGTTAGTTGCATAATCCCCACCGGCGGTCCCCTGGAGCCTCTCTCTTCTCTCCCCTGGTCACCCACTCACGTACCCACGCAGAAGCTGGAAAGATCCAACGCCGTCTCGCTCCCGCAGGCATTATCGACGCCTTGCCTGCACTGCGACGTCTCTCGTCTCGCCAGACGGCCTGGGACCTGACACAACATTCTGTCTGTCTCTGCCATCTCCCTTCGCAGCTCGTTTCTTGGTGCCTCATCCTCGCTGTGGGGGACAGTGCTGGAGAGTCGCGCTGCAGACTATTGGGCACACCTCGCCTGGCGGACAAGGGCAAGGGAAGAAAAAAAGGACAGCAGCCAAACAGGCCCGTCGCCGGTTGGGTCGGTTGCCGCCATCATCCACTACGACCTGGTAGGCTGAAGCTGGCTCTCTGCAGATTCCCGTTGAAATCGGTCGGGGAGATATTTTCCACTCCTCGCGCCCTGCAACCGCGTCCCATCGTCCCATCGTCCAGCCTCTTCCCTCTCGCTCCTCTCTGCCCATTACCCTCATCTGCCGTCCCCAAACACAAGCCACTTCTCCTTTGGGCTTGTCTCTCCCCTGCGTGCTGCCCACTCAGCCGCCAGACCTGTTTATTTGTCACCCCCGTCAGTCGCAGCTGTCCTTGAGTCGGGCTGGTGTGGTATCACGGATCGCACCACCAGCTCTACCCATCGGACCGCATTAACTGCTGCCGATGCATCGTCGCCACTGCACGCCTCGTCGCTTCTTCTCACCATAGATTCATCTCCATTTCCCGGCCACGCATTTGCGCCCTCGATCCGATTTCCCTTTCCCTGCCAGTTTTTGGGCGCCTTTGACCAAAGGTGCAGCCGTCTCCACCGCCTGCTACCCCGTAATCCACGCTTTCCCGCTGCCGCGACGCGAATTCACGAGAGGAACAAGAGGGCGGACACGACGACGACAAGACACGGCAGGACCTGCAACCGACAGCACAAGGCGTCAGGTGGACTACTCGCTATTTACCGACGGCGGTCGCAACATTTCCCCAGCCCCTCTCGCGTGCGCATGCGATAGCGTCCGTAGGCGCTTGTCGATATCCACGCTGTGGATAGCCGACCTCGACGAGAGATGATGGCTGCGAGTAGTATGGGCCCCAACTTCGCGGGGCACCCTGCCATGGGACATCCCGGAGTCGCAGGACATCCCATGGGGGCCCCCGGAATGCCTCCCAACGCCGGCCAGCAAGGCGCGCCCGGCGGTATGCCTCACCAGTTCGCTGGCGGCCACATCGCCGTCTCCGGCCCGGGAGGCCAGGTCAATCCGGCCATGATGGGCGGCATGCCGCCTGGTGCCAGCCCTGGCCCTCACGCGATGCACCAGCTCACTCCCGCGCAACAGCAGATGTTTCAGCAACAGCAGCAGCAACAGCAGCAGCAGCAGCATCTGCAACAGTGTGAGTGCCCCAGGGTGACAACGAGGCTCGAAAGGGACTGCGTGTGCTAACGTGTGGAACATCGTTGTTAGTCAATATGAACAACCCGAGCGCAATGGCCGCCATTCGCCAGCAGCAGCTACTGCAGCAGCAGCAGCAGCAACAGCGGCAAGCCATGTTCGCCCAGCAGTTCCAAGGCATGGGCGCCGGAGTCAACGGTTTACCCATGGGCATGCAGCTGAGCCAGCTGAGCCCCCAGCAGATTCAGCACCTGAGACAGCGGACCGCCATGGGCCATGTTGCCGTGAGTTATCCTCGTGCATGCGAAGTTCGCAGTAATGAAAGGAGCAAGACGCTTACTCACACTCTTCTCTCACCAGGGCCATAACCCGCAGGCGATCATGGCCCAACAGCTGGCCCTCCAGCAACACGCGGCCCAGCAGCAAGCAGCCCAGCAAGCGCAGCAGCAGGCGGCGGCGCAACAGGCGGCGCAACAGCAGGCGGCGCATAACCAGCAGATGGCTGCCGGCCATAACCAGGCGCAGCACATGGCAATGAACGCGCAGCCCATGGGCATGCAGCAGCAGAACCCCATGGCCGCGGCGGCTCAGCCGCAGATGGGCGCCCAGCAGCAACAGAACCAGCAGCCCCCAGGACAGCCTCAACCGCAGCAGCAGCAGCAGCAGCAGCCTGGGCCCCAGTCACAGCAAGCGCCGCAGCAGACCTCTCAGGGAGGCACACCTGCTGCCTCGGGCCAGCAGACACCGTCCCAGACTCCGGCCCCGACACCCGCCCACGCGAACCAGATGCCACCTGGACAGCCCCAACCCCAGCAAGCGCAGCCTCCGAACCAGGCCCAGATAGCCGCCCAGCAGCTGATGGCGTCTTCCATAATGCAGCAGCAGCAGATAAGAGAAGGGATGAAGACTCGGTGCCTCTTGAAGCTGATGCAGTTTGGGGAACGCCTTAGCGGCTATCCTGTATGGTTTTCCTCGTCACTGTGATGCATGAAGCGGATTTGGTTTGCTGACACAAGTTCTGTAGGGCGCTAAGAACAAAGACGATCTGTCATATTGGAATAGATTTGTAGCCCAATTCTTCTCACCTAGCGGCGTGTTCCGACATTCATTACACGTCAGCGATTCTGAAGACACGCCGGACAAGCAGTACGACATTTCGTACCCGGCAATTGCTCGCTACTTCCACACGCATTTCTGCAGTGGTGTCAAGAGCATACAGCTCATCCTGGATAGCGGAAGCAGTGACAAGCATATGCCAGGAGACTGCTACTGCATCGAAAACCCGAGGGCCAGCTTCGTCTACTGGTTTGAGACGGGGTCACATGTATGTCACATCCTCTATCTGATATGTCCCAACAACGCTGCGTACTTCGTTTGCTAACCTTGTCTTGCTTCCAGCTCGTGGCCACGGGTACACTACGGGCGCAGTTCGATGCCGAACAAAAGATTGAACTGTTCGAGTTCCTCACGACGAGACAAGAGGAATACGTTTCTCGGAAACGGGTGATTGAAGCTGCCAAGCCAGCACACGAATGGATCAAGGAGTGGCGCAGCGTGAACACGATGGATGGCAAGCAGTCGCCAGAAATGTCGAAGAAGGGCAAAGCCCGACAGCTCAAGTCTCCTCAGAAAGAGCCGCCAGGAGTTCTGGTTGATCTACCAGACTCTGCAGTGAACAGCAAGGGCGTCACGGAGGCGGTGCATCAGTTCCTCGAGGTATGTTGATGCGGTGTCTCAGATGACTTGTGGCAGAAGGAGGACAGCAAGAGCTAACCGTTGCTGCAGATTGTGGAAGTTATGGGCCAGATGAACCCGTTGTTCGGATTCTACCACTCCAACCCTGGCCTTAGCCCCTATGCCGCGCTCGAACAATACGTAGCCACGCAAATCAACAACAACCCACAGCCGATGATGAATGGGCAAAACATGGTCCAAGGGCCCAGGACGCCCAGCTTCGGGCAGTTCCAGATGGGGGCGAGCCCTGCTGCGGCGCACATGAATCTGCCGGGGTCGCCTCACATCGGCAGCCCTGCGCCGGGCCAAGCCCCGGGGATGCAGCTCCAGCCTAGCCAGCAAGGGACGAGTTCAAGCGGGCCGAGCGCAAACACATCGCCGGCTTCCAACAAGCGCCGACGTCCGTCCACTGTCAAGGTCGAAGACGATTCGGCCACAGCAGGCGCTGCCCAGGTCAACGGCATCCAGAACAGGGGCAAGCCCCAAACACCTCGAATGGCCAAGCGGTTGAAGGGCAACCCAGCGTGAGGCGCATCTTCTTACTAGCTCGATCCACGTTATTGGACGTCTGCTCTATCCGGCCTACGATTTATGCTGTGCCATCTCCAGCACGGCAAACCACGCCTTTTTTTTCATGTCCCTAGGTATTCATGATGGAGCATGGTGGCGTCTCTTGTTTTAATTTGCCCTTTCAGGCTCTCTTCCAATTTCTTTTCTAACCCCGTTTTGATTTGGACTTGCTTTATTGGCCTTGGACAAGTTTGGAAAAAGCTTTGATTTTACAAAAGAGAAACCGGGACAGTACGCCAGCCAGTTCTCTGGCGGCGTGCGTGTCCGTGGTAGCCGTTTGGAAACCCCGTGCTTTCCGCACGTCCTTGCGTCGGTGGATTGATACCCTGCGGTGGGAGAGTGTACTTGTCGGCAACGAACAAGACCCGAGGGAGCAGCTGGGCATGCTGAGTGGGAAGCATCGTCCTGTCACAAACACGGCATCCGAGGGGCCTCAGTCCTCTTCCATTCTTTCTCCCACCCTTGTTTCTGCTCTCTACATGACGATATATACGGAGTAGACGCCATGGGATGAGGCGTTTTGGGTCTTGCAATCGTTGCGCGACAGATTTAGCGAAGGAAATATTAGAGATGTGTTGGGCGCTGACGGGCGGGGAGAGAAAAGGAGGGATAGGTTTTTATAATTTGGGTAACGGAGTTACTCGTGTACGATAAACCTTTTTTTGTTTTGTTTTTAATCTTGCAAGACTCGATCTGGTCGTTTTGCTTTCACATGCCTTCCTTGACACTTTTGTCCTGTTCCACGGTCCACTTTGCTTCTTGTTCATTCCATATATAGTCGTACGTCTCTAGGGTTTCTCTGCGGCCAAAAAACGACTTCCATGCAATTCGTGCCTCCATATGCGAGCTTGCTATCACCTGAGTTGACTTTTGCTCGACGGCTAGCCAAGGCCCCTTTATCTTTTCCTAAATCTCCTTGTCAAAGAGGAGACACCCCCCAAAATATCTGGTTTGGAACATATTGATCTGGCTCATTCTCGTCCCTATACAACGCGATATCACGAACGTACAACGTATCTCTTGTGCGCTTTTGCGTCCCCCGTGCCCCCCTCATGGGATCATACTTGTGGTAGTGTACGCAGCGTACAAGTATATATGTAAAGTCTAACATTTCCCCCCTCTTGAGGCGTGTTATCATGGAGTGACGGGCTTCCACTCACCCCTGAATGATGAAGAGATGGCTTCAACTAGTATAGTTCGTCTTCCCAGGTTTCCATCTGACGGGGAGGATCTTTTCAACACAAACTAATTCTCTGATTTACCTGCCATTTCAAATTTCATCACCGGAACCTCCTTCTCGCTACCTCTTCACCTCACGCACCAAACCTCCACAACTTGCCTAACTTGAATCCTCCACAACAACGACGGCAACGCCAACAACACTCCCCAGCAATCTCAATCTCAAAGCCACTTCTCACGCCGAAGCACCACCATCCCCACCACCATCCCCATCCCCGTTCCCATCCCCGTCACCGTCCCCAGCAACACCCATATCAACACCAACAACAACCTCATTCCCCCCCTCCTCCATCACCCCCCTCAAACCCCCCTCCCAAACCCCCTCATCAACATCCGCCCCCAAAACCCTCACCACATCCCCCGGAGTCACCAGCCCCTCCGCCCCCTTCTCGACCCTCAACCCGCACAACCCCCCTTCCCTCGCTCTACTTCCCTGCGGCATCACATACACCTTCACTCTGGAAGCATCAATCCGTCCGCCCGCATGCCGAATCGCAATCCCGTGGTGCTGTTTCGCAAATCTCGCCAGCGCGGCCAGTAGTCCGTCTCTGCTGGGCAGCTCGTCTCGAGACCACGACGTGTCCGTGAGGGCATATCTACCGTCCGGGTGTCCGTAAAAGACAATCCGCATGTTGAGTCTTCTTTCCCCCGACGACGATGAGGACGAGACCGCTCCCGTCGGCGCTCCCGGCGGCAAAGCCGATGCTGTAGCCAACGGCAGCGATGGAGGCAACGCCACGGGCACGGCAAAGATGGGAGGAGGAGAGACCAAAATCATCGTCGTAAGGGGCACGACGGGCTGGACAAGTTGATGTTGTGGATTCTGTATCGTCAGGACCGGCGGCGATGGAACGGCCATCACCGGATGCTGAAAGACGTGATACTGTGGTGGTTGGAGCTTCTGGGCCGTAAAGCCGGGGACGAAGCCGTAAAATGACATTGTGAGTCCTACGTCAGCGAGGAGAAAGTAGATCACGTCAAGGCGTGTCCCCCTACCAAGGATCAGGATGGAGAGGGAGGTCATATGCAAGCCATTAAGTCGTGCGCAACGCTCAATGATTGTCCTCTACTGCGCAAGCAATTCTTGACAGTGATCATGGCAACGTGGACCGTCTGCCGAGTTTGGGAAGAAGCTGACTGTGAATCACATATGCAAACACTTTACGCAAACACCGCCATGAGTTCTCAAATAAGAGGTAGAGTTCCGAGAACTTCACGTAGATAGGTGTAACAACCTACTAAACAAATGACTTATCGCATTTTATTCAGTCGAGTGAGCAACTTGGACTCACCCAAATCGTTTGCTATGATGCATTCCGTGTACAAAGTACACCATTTCCAATCAAACCGCGTCAAGACACGCATAAACATGATGGTAAGTGACTAGCCGTTTTGTGCCGTTGGTCGGCATCCTGACCCTTGGTGCCCAAACTCCGTGAACTCTCCATTGGTGACCAACATAAATGCTTCCGATACATCCTCGTCCTTGTTCCTCTTGTTTCTCCCCGCTCTCATCTCGTGACTGCTTAGAGGCTTTCCGGAGTGGGATTCTCGTGCTTAGCCGTGCTTCCCTTTCCTCGCCAAGTGCTCACGGCAGGAATGTGAGCCTCATATCGAACCTCCTCGGTGCCGTACGCCCTTGGCGTGAGCTTGATGAGCGTGTGAAGCGGCACATTCATCCAGGGGCTCTTAGCCTGGTCCTTCTTCATAAAGTACGCATAGATGCAGCGCAGGACCGCCTGGTGCGTCACAATGAGAATGTCCTCGCTACGTTCCAGTTCCATTATGATGGGCTCCAGGCGGATGACCACGTCGCGGTATGATTCGCCACCGCGGTATCGGTAGTTGTACTTGTCCTCATCGCGGGCTGCAAAGTCTTCGGGGTAACGATCCTTGATCTCCTGGTATGTCAGGCCATCGCACACGCCCGAGTCCAACTCATCCAGCGCTTTCCACTGCAGCTGGTTGTAGTGCGGCGGGAGGAATCGGGCTGTGGCAATGGTGCGTTTCAATGTCGAGGTCCACACTGTTAGGGGACGGTCGTCCTATTTCATAGTCAGCACCTGTCCTACGCACGGGAGAGGTCCGCACTGCAAGACGTCCACTGCAAACAAACATAGCATGAACGTACCCCAACAGACTCTCGCACAAGCTCCGGCAGCTTCCTGGCATACATCTCGCCTCGGGGAGACAACAGCGTGTCGCCACCAATCCGCCCACTCAGGTTGTATAGGGATTCACCGTGCTATATAAGTTGGTAATCAGTACAGTGAACGGGAGAAGACACTCTTGTAATAATTATTGCTTACCCTTGACAGCCAGACGGACCTGGGCCGGACATGTAGATTCATGAGGTAGTAGACGATGCGGCTCTGAAGATAGTCTTGAATGCGGTTGATGATGACTTGCTTGCCGACATTCATCAGCTTCAGATAGGTGTAGTGATCTTCGTCATCGTCGCCGTTGATAGTTTTGTACACCTTTTCGTAGTGGCTAATGCGGTTGCGAAAGTCTTGGGCTGCGGCCTCGGGGTCCTGGCCGCGATAGTCGGGGCTTGTGAGCTTAACGTCTCGAATGTTGGCCATGATGACATCCTCATCGTCGCATTTGCTCTCAACAAAGAGCACTTCGATGCCGTGAGCGGCGCACGTGTCCATAACCCATTTGCGGCGCTCCTTGGTAGAATTGGTTGCGTCGAGGATGCCGACGACGCCGCCGGTGCGGAACCACGCGAGCATGTCAGCAACGGCGGCTTCCGCTGCCGCACGGCGCATCCGTTCACCCTCGGGATTGTTGAAGTCGAAAAAGTCAGCCTTCGGCTGTGGAGCGTCATTGCGCCGATAATTGCCGACGTTGAAGGTCGCTGCCGGAATTGACAGCCATTGCAGATATCTTTGGGCTGCATATCCGAAAAGAGAAACAGATGAGAAACCAAAGTCAGTAAAGATCATGACACTTTATGTGAAGTGGCGTGAGAAGTTGGAGGAAACCGGGCACTTGGGACAACGCTAAAGGGGGAGGGGAAGAAGTGGTCAAAGAACAGAGCATCATGAGATGTCTATGGGCGGGCTGAACGTGCTGAAGAGGAACATATCGGAACTGGTGTAATTCCACGCAATAGATGAAGAAGAGAGACCTCTTTCCTCTCTTCTCGTTCTTGGGGTATGCATACCTAACTGGGCAATGTAGCTCTTCCCGCGGGCCGGGAGACCAACCATGACCACACATATCTTTGTGTCTTCGACCTGAACTCCCAAACCATTATTAGTTTTTGACGGCATTGTCAAGATGATGAAGCCGGCAATTCTGCGGCGGCTGTTTGCTCAAATCAAGTATGCTGATACGGTGTTTAGGGTGTGATAGCAGAGGCATCCGGCGAGACGACTGATACATATGAGGGCGCAGCGGGAGTAGAGGAGACACAGGCAGCAGTGGCAATGACAAGAAGGACAAAGAACAACGGCAGAAATTCGTGCGGCCTCGTTATCTCTCGTTGTCCCTCGTGGGAGAGAAGACAAAGGCGAGTTCAGCTGATGGATAACGCCAGCAGAGAGCCGAGCGGCGCAGGAGGATGTCAGGCGTAGGTTGCGTGAGAGTGGCTGAACAAGTCCAGAGCGTGCTCAATCCGTGAAGGAGAGATGGCTAATCGATCCAGAGCGTGACGAGCAGCCCGGCAACGAATGGAAGCGTGAAGAGGCGTTGATTCGAGACCGTGGGCGCGTGAGGGTGTGGGCGCGATGCAGCTCCAAAGGGTCCAGGTTTAAACAGGTTCAATCGACGTCAGGCCGCTTTAGTGGCTGGTGGGCACTAAGCCTCAGCGGTCGATTCGACGCTGAAAATAAAATGGGAAAAACCAACAGCCGAGGCAAGCCTGCAGGCAAGCAGCGGAACGGGAATAACTGCTGCACGGCGTGTAGCACCGCAGCAGGATATCGTTGAAGGCAGCTGTCTGGGATTGGGGGCAGAAAAATAGGGGGAAAATTCTGCAAATGGATTTCCGGGCCGAAGTGGATGGATGAAGATGAGGACGGGTGAAAAATCCTGAATCTTCTGATGGAGCCTGGCGGAGTGACGCGGGAAGGTGATCGTGGAGAAAAGATGGAAAAATCGAGATGGCGATGGAAAAAGAGGAGAGCGTAGGATATCGGCCCCCAGAAGTACTGCCTAGTACCGGTGAGTACCGGCTGTTGGGGGTTGCGGCGGCGTGTGACCGGCAGATACCAGAGCGAATGGGAAGCAATAAGGTACCCCAGATTGTCAACTGGAAGGCACCACCCGTATTACAGCCGTAGCCGTCTCGTCGTATCGATTCGAGGCAGGTGCGCCTCTTGCACACAGCTCTTCTGCCCAGGACTGATATGAGATGCCTTATACCTTCAATAATTTCAGGTAGGTACAGTAGACCGAAAAGAGCAGTTGCCCGGATAGGCAGTGGGCAGGTCAGGCACTAGGTAGGTCCTGCCGAGCAGAGACAGAGACAAGCCTAGACTTCCTTTATCCTTTCAACAGGCAGGAAGAGCCGAGAGCTTGCAGGTGCGTGTCGAGGTGGTGGCAGCAGTTAATAAGGGAATGCAGCTGCAGCAGCCGGGGGGAAGGAGCTGAGGCACGCGGACAGGCGACCGAAGAGGCGATGACGACGGCCAGTTTCGGCAAGAGCGAGCACGAGCAGCACCTGGCGTGGAGGCAGGGACAAAGGAAGGAGGGAAGGAAGAATGCAAATGGAAACCGTGATCAGAAAAGGAAAATGAAGAGAAGAAGGAAAAAGAAGACCAAGAACAGGGGGTCAGGTAAATGTCCCCTGTCTCATGAGTTTTTCCTGCTTGACACGGATCCTCTTCCAGGGAGCTTCAAGGTTCTCGAGGCCACCCCGCATTGTGGTTGATGGATGCATGGCCTGGGCTGGTGCAAGCCTCGTCTCCTGTCCTGCATGTGGTTTGTGCCTGTGCCTGGAAAAGTCCGCCCCAGTGCCTGGGTCTGGTCCCGTAGGTGCTGCGCCTGTGCTTGGTCCTGTCCAGCAGCTTCCTCGGCCCTCAGCCCCCTCATTGCCCCCTTCGAGCCTCAAAAAACCATCAGATGCCCCCGTGATGCGCTCTGCTCATGACACGGAACACGAAGTAATTACGATTACTCCATCCTCGGTGGTTGATGCTGTCTGGCGGCTCTGTTGCCCCCTGTGCCGAGGACGCGCAGGTGGGGGACCAGGGGGCCGGCTCTGGGGAATTTGGAGCGCCAGGGCGGCGGCTCACGGCGAGAGATCCATGGATGCGCTGAGAGCTCGCCCGGTTAGGGGGGCTTGCAGGGCCTGGCCAGCGCTGCGGGGCCGCGAGCCGCCCCTGACGGCGCCCTACCAGTCCCTTCCAGTCCCTCCCAGACCTTTCAGGTTCCCAGACCCTGCCAGCTGCAGCGCAGTCCGAATCGTCCCGGCCGACTCCATCTCGACGTTCCGATTCGAAGCCCTCGTTTTCGTGGGTGAGCAGGTGACTGCCGGCAAATTGAGGTGAAGCAATATCGATGTCAAGGTTTTCCGTCGGTTCTTGCATCCGCGATCCGCGAGTCGAACGATCTGCGAGCCAGTCTGGCCATCTCGGAGGCGGTCATTGGCAGCGGCCCGAGGCTTTGGCTGCCTTGATGGCGGTCGAGATAGATCAATCGGTATCAATCGACCATCCACCATGGAACAGCATCCTATGATCTCTCCGCCCCCCGGGTCGTCCCCGTGATTGCCTCTTTCGGGCACCTTGGCCACGGGCAGTGGTCGCCTCTGCAGGAACACACCCCTGACCGAGACAAGGCAGCCTGTCGGTTTTTTTTCCCTTCTCTGATTCCCGGTGTGCTCTTCTCGGATCAAAGGCAGCCAGCCTTTCACCCGGGCTTATCCGACCGTTGCAGAGCAGGCAAGCAGAAAGGCTTGAGGCTGCCATCATGGGACCAATTGCTCATCTCGTATGTTGCAAATGGCCTGAGCGCAACGGAGCCGGCCATTGTCGCAGCTCAACTGCAATTTCACGCCGTTGAAGATGCCGGCCCTCAAGGTTCTCTTTTTGTCTCTCTCGTCTCCCTCCACAAGCATGTGCCGAGAGTGTGTGTCTCCTCTGCTGCTGCGACTCGAGCTCCGCGTTTGCGATATCCTTGTTTGATGCCACTCGACGTTGGTGGAACCGGACCAAAGGGGCTGCCGCTGGCCTTGATGCTCACCGCCTGCATCTGCGTTGCGTTTTGCAATTTGCAGGTGCAGATGCAGAAGCAGATGAGATGCAACCACTCGGTCGCCATGACGCAGTTTCTTGTCCATCTGCTCGCTCAGCCACTTGACCGGCAGCCGTTTCGCATGACACCGCAGGTATTAAAAACGAACAGTGAAGGGCCCAAATACCGATGCCGGATCCCAGCAGCGCTGCCGGTCCAATGAGAGCAAAAAGATGCAGACTTGAAGAAAAAGACGCTCAACGAGGTCATCTCACCTTGCTGAAACTCCAGGTATTCGCCCTCGTCCTCCCCGACGGCGATTTGACGGGCGTCGGCGGCCCAGCAGCAACGCCTATCATGATTGTGGCCGTCTGCTTGCAGCGATTTGTCGCCCCTTGACGTATGTATTCGTGACTCTTGACGGAAATGCCGCGTCTCCGCTTCGATCCTGTGACTACCCACGAGGCTGGTTGGAGTTGTCAAAAGAGAGAAAAGAATGAGGGAAGATGAGAAGAGAAGCTGGGTGGGAAAATAAGAGAAGGATGAGATGTTGCTGATTTTACAGTTTAGAATAAGCAGGGAAAATGTAAACGGGACTCTGTTTGCACTTGGACGGAAGCACGCAGAGAGGCTCTGATAAGGGGGGCGGCAGTGGATTGGCAGTGGATTTGGCTTGATTCCAGGTTTTCTTTGGCTCTGAGCTGGGCCCTGGATTGGGGCCGCTGTCGATTGTTATTTCATTAGTACGTATGCGCAAGCAAAAGGGCTGGAAAGACACTGCGTGATAAGCCTGGTCGCATCGTGTTGCCCTGGTTGAGCGCCGCATTCCATCATATTGATGGAACCATTTGGCGACGAGACAATTCTGTGTCTTTTCTGAGTACCTTGCATTCAATGACATGTACGCAAGATGACTCTTGCTGCAAACGAAGGAAGAGAAAAGCCCACAGATGGGAAGAACCCTTCATCGAAAATGCCCCAAATTCTCACAAGCAAAGAATTAGTACCACGATATGCGAAATAGAGAGAGAGAGAAGAAGTGTAACCCATCGCCCGGGCTACACCAACGACATCAAGCCCATGCATGAATCCCCTCCTCCCCCCTTTGCCACTTATCCTCGTCCAAACTGCCATAGTGACAAAACCAACAGAACCAGTTTCATTCCAAATATCAATCAAAATCAAGTTCAACCCGAGTCATGGATAGCCCCCGCCCGCCCATCTTTCACTTCCGCCCGTAGAACCGCATCTCCGCCGCTCCCACGTCAAACACGGCCACGACGTTCTGCAGAAAGACGTCGCCGAGGATGTACGGGCCGGGCCCGCCGCTGGCGACGCCGACGGCGCAGTAGCCCGTCAGCGGGTCGACCAGGTCCCTGTAGACGAGGTCGGCCGGGTTGATCCAGAACTCGACGCCCGCGATGAGGATGGCAAAGTGCGGCGGGATGGCGGT